TGACTCCAGAACTTAGACTGTAGCCATCACTGCACATTACCTCCTTGTGGAGGATACAGCACACAGTCCCAGCGGGCCTCTGTGCAGTAAGAGGATGCGAGCCCAGCGCCATGCCATGAGTCCATGGTGCCATGGGCACCAGGGGGGATGCCAGGAGGTGAGGCTTGAAGATGACCAAAGATTTCTTCCTCCTTCACAATTTCCTTTTTTTTCCTCCTCACACTGTGTGATAAATTTACTTCCTAATGATTTTTGAGTAAACTACAATGACCACAATTTCAAAATCATTAATAATTTATGACCAAGGGCCATAAACACTATATAATCTCCACTGGCAGGAACCGTGAATGCTAGTCAGAGACAAGGCCAAGAATATTTTTAACCAGCTGAACTGAAAGTCTCTACCGACTTCAAGCCAACCATTGAAGATATATTTTTCGAAAATGATTGTAACTATACCAAAACCTCACTTCAAGATGTCTCTTCCAGGAAGTCTCCTCTCCCTCCTCTGGAGACCCCTGGAGCTTTACGTGGATCTCTTCTATGAGGTTTATCGCTCTCTTCTTTGATTTGTGGGTTGAGAATTGACACACCGTTGGAGCCAGGCTGGCCATGCACAGCATACAGCGAAGCATCTTGGTTAAGAGTCTTCAGTGTGAAGCCCTTGAAGCCTGGCTCTGTCTCGTTAGCTGTGTGACCTTGAGCAGGTCGCTCACCTTCTCTGTGTCTCAGTTTCTTCATCTGTGAAGTAGGGAAGTATAATAACTATCACATCCTACCCCATGGCCTATTTGTGAAGGTAAACAGGGCATAACACATAAAGCAGTGGTTCTCATCTGTGGCTGCACACTGGAATCATCTTGGGAGATTAAAAAATTCCAAAGCTGGGTCGCACCCCCAGAGACTCTGATTGAACTGTTTTGGAAAGAGGCTTGGACATCAGGATGTTTAAAAGCTCCCAGGAGATTCTAATGTGCAGCAGACCGTGTGAACCACTGACACAAAGCACTTAGCACAGGGCCTGGACCAGCATGGTTGCCATATACCTGTCAGCTGTTGAGCAGGTGTGTGGGGGGGGGCGGGGGGGGCAGCCATCCTCCACAACACCCATTGCCACTGCTGCCTTACAGGAATAAGGACTCAGTATTGTCGTTCTCCATTTTCCCAAAGAAGCCAGAAATCTGCATTTTTATGTGAAATCTCCCAATTTTTAAATGTGGACAACTAATTTTTGAAAATCGTATAAAGGTCAAAATCCATTGCCATTGAGTTGATCCCGACTCACAGTGACTCTATAGGACAGGGTAGAACTGCCCCATAGGGTTTCCAAGGAGCGGCTGGTGGATTCGAACTGCTGACCTTTTAGTTAGCTGCCAAGCTCTTAACCACTGTGCCATCAGGGCTCCTGCAATAGGTTATGGACCAGAAAAAACACATCTTTGTGCTGAGACTGGCGAGCTTATTGAGCACTGCCGCCCAGTCCACGATCACGACCACGGAGAGGGGCCCACTCCCAGCCCAGGGTGGAAACCGCACGTTCACCTGCAGGCGTGAGGCAGCCGCAGTCTCCCCCCACAGGAGCACAGCGCGTGTCCTCATCTGCTTTGTTCTAACCAGCACTGGGAGAGAGACAGCCTGTCTTTCCCTTGCATTTCACGGTGACATGGCGTGATATACACTTGGCAGCCTGTGTAAGTCACCAAGTGCCAGGAAATCCAGGTTTCATGGACAAGATGGGGAGGAAGGTAGAGACAGGAGGGGGTGGAAAAAGCATGTTATAGCAGGATGAGAGTCCTGGCAGCTTGTTATTAGTTTTTTGTTTTGTTTTGTTTTTTTAACCAGACAAAAGTCCTGTTAAGAGAGTCAGCACCCTATGTTCCCGAGGGCCTGAAACTATCTTAAATATCTCTCAGGGTTCAACCTGGACATTGTGATACACCACTTCACTCTCCATTTTCTCTCACTCCAAGCTCTTTTCAGAAGAGGAGCAATCTGAAATGCTTTCGGCGATTGGCATGATGGGAGCAGCTGAGAGAGCGGCAATTAGGGGAGTCCCAGTGCCAAGGACAGAGAAAAAAGGGGAAAGGGGATCTCAACCAGTTACCCGCTGCCCGGCTCCCTCATTTCCCAGCTAATTTCTTAAGGTGGAAAATGGGATGCTGTTATTCTGTGGTCAAAAGCCTGTTAGGTTTAAACAACTCATTCCTAGCATGAGGACTGGTCTTCAGCCTCAATCATTTAACCAAGGGGAGCCAGGAGCCTGCAGGCCTGTGCTCACTCCTGTTCTGGCTCCTCCAACTTGGAGTGTCTGGAAGGACTTTGCAGGAGGACAGGCACACCTGTTCCTGCCTCTAGAAAAAAGTCCTTAACAGAAGGGAGTGATAAATCCACCCTAGTTCACCTCTAGATTGCCCACATGGGCTCCCATTTAGACCTTCTTGCCAGCATCAAAGTTCCTAAGTTACCTCCCGGTGCTCATCCCAGGTAGGTTGATTAAATAAGCAGAAAATCCACACTGGTTGTTCTGGCTACAGCTGAGAAGGGGACACCAGAAGTGAGGATCAAAGGCACAGCAAAGCACACAAGGTCCCTTGCAGTCCAACCTATCTCTTCAAGCTTGTCTTGTGCCAACGGCCCCTCTGGAGGGAGGCCAGGGCTACTTTCAGAGGTCAGAGGCCCTCATCCTTTATCTACCCTTTGTCAGGTTTTCCTGGCCCGCAGGGCTCAGTCATGTGGTTCAGGTGGAGTTGCTCCAGCACACCGGCCCTTACCCCAGGTGTGGCAGATCAGCATAATCTAACCCCCTGGCTCCAGTGATTAGTTCAGGGAATGGCATATGAGTCTAGTAAGTCCAGTGAGAATCGGCCTCTGCACATTTGCTGGAACCACTAGAAAAGAGAAGCCCTTTTCCTGGGGGTGCTGCTGAAGTGAAAGAATATTAGTTAGGAAGTGGTGGTAGCCACTGTGATACAATGGGGGCAGAGTTTGGCTGACAGGCCAACACAGAGGAAAGCAGAACCAAGAAACAGAGAAAGACCAAGTCTTGCCATTTTTGAGCCCCTAGATCCACCAGCGCCTGACAAATTCTCTTTCATTATTATAATTACGTCCCTTTACAATCAAGAGTCTTAATATATCACTGTTGATGAATTTCAGGATCAGTCAATATTTATGTATCCGCCTGTACCCCTGTACCCATTTGCCACTAATAAGACTCACAGTTAAACTCCCCAAGTTTGAGACTTGATTAAAGGGTCCTGCTGTCTGCTCCTTCCCTCTTAACCTATGGATTCTTCCTACCATTTTCCACCCCAAATCTGCCTTAATGATCTTGCAACTTTCTTCATTCACGTCTCCTGACTTTGACCATGATCTTTACTTGGCACCCACACACCACCTTTTCTGCTAACTGTCTTGATACTCCTAGCAGAGTTAGGTGATCCCTTTTCTTTATTAAAATCCCACTTTCTTTGTCCCTCTCTGATGGCACTTCTCACACTGCACTGTAACTATCTTGTTGCACGTCTCTTCCAACTATAGTGTGAGTGTCCTGAGATCAAGGACTGTGTCTCATCCATCTCTGAGTCCCAGCCCTTGGCATGGTACCTGGCACACAACAGAAGGAGCTCAGTGTGGTAGGTTTCAAAAATGACCACAATATTTTCCTCTTCCTGTCAATGGGTGAAGCCGATTTCACCACCCCTTGAATCTGGGCTGACCTTGCAACTTGCTTTGACCAACAGAAAGTGGCGGAAGTAATACTGTGCTAGCTCTGAGCCTAGGTCTCTAGAAGGCCTACATCTTGCACTCTTGCAACCCTGAACCACCATATGAATGAGCCCGGCCAGCTTGCTGGAAGACAAGGGAGCAGGTGGAGGAGAATGGAAGCACCCTAAGTGACACTCAGCCAGACCTCAGCCACACAGTTGACCACAGCCGCATGAGTGAGCCCCAGCTGAGATTAGTAAAGCCTGGCCCAAATCAGCAGGACTTCCCAGGTAAGCCCAGCCCAAACTGCTGACCCACAGAATCGTGAACTAAATCCATGGTTGTTGTTTTAAGCCACTAAAATGTGGGGTGATTTGTTATGCAGCCAAAGTTAACTGATACACTCAGTAGGAGATTACTAACAAATGACACTGGGTTGATTCTAGTTGCCAACTGTCTTAGGCTGGGTTCTCCACAGAAGCAAAACCAGTAAAGCGCATAAATATATATATACCCAAACCAAAACCCATTGCTGTTGAGTCAATTCTGACTCACAGCGACCCTGTAAGACAGTGTAGAACTGCTCCACAGGGTTTCCAAGGTGCAGCTGGTGGATTCAAACTGTTGACCTTTTGGCTTGTAGCCGATCTCTAGAAAGATTTATATCAAGGAAACAGCCCATGTGGCCACAGAAAGGCTGGAACATTCCAAGTCCGTGGATCAGGCTGGAGGCCTCTCCTGACCCACGCAGCCGCAGGGGCTGGCAAACCCAAGATTGGCAAGTCAGACAGCAGGGCCCTGGCGCAAAGGCTGCGAAGACTGACAAATCCCAAGGAAGACGGCAGGAAAGCTGTCAGCCCAAGTCCCAAGAACCAGAGGCTAGATGAACAGGAGCCAGCTGCAGGATCCAGAGTGAACAAAAGCCCATGAGCCTTGCCAGAAAGTCCACCTATATTGGATGCAGGCCACACCCCCAAGGAAACTCCCTTTCAACTGACTGGCTACTCATAGCAGATCCCATCACGGAGGTGATCACATTATGTCAGATCTCATCATTATACAACTGCCAAACTATATCATAACTGCCAAACCACTGAGAATCATAGTCCAGCCAAGTTGACACACAACCTTAACGATCACACCAACTATCATTTGGTCCCTTTGGTTGGGACTCAGAGACAAATGAGTAAGATGTCCAGAAATGAGTAACAGGTACTTCTTCACCAGCCAGTTCCCTCAGATCATTTCTAAGAGAGTTGCCCCTGACCAGCCTTCAGCAGGAACATGCTTACCTCCTTCTTCTCCCGTGAGCAGGACCGGCTTCTCTCAGCCCTCTGCAGAGCCTGACCTGTAGTGATTCAAAAGCAGAACCAGAGATTAAGGCTGTTTGAGAACAGCTAGTTCATCACTGCAAAAGCTTTTTATTTGCAAACTGAATAGATGGGACCCATCATAATCGAATGATTTTAAGAAAATGCAGCCCATTATTCTAATGGGGAAATGGTACACTTTTGGAATAGACCAACGACAAGGAAATGGTAATTCACACACTCATGTTATTGGACTATAATGAACAGAACTCCAGCCCTTTAATCTGGGACATTATCTGCACTCTGAAAGGGCTGGCGGACTGTAGTTTTCCCAGTCAAATTACATTTTCATTAAATTGTTTGGAATTATATAAAATGCCTTCCACAAAAATGCCTTCCACTGTGCACATACACAGAATTTTTGATGAGTGCATACCAATGTGCCGTACCAAACCCCCAAACTCACCACCGAGGTGATGGTACAGATGTGAATTAGCAGTAATCACCCATATTTCACATAATGGGCAATTTCAGAGAGAATTGTTGCTTTCCTCGGAAAACTAGAACACCAACATTTGAAGGTATGCATAAATTCAATAGATCAACATCATAATGTTTAAATATGCTGTTCCAAATGCAGTTTTCACAACTTTTATGGAAGTGTCCATTATAAAAAGATTCGCTGATGGAAAATTAATGGGTTGCCTTGGCTTTAAAATGTAAAATGGGAGTCACTCCAAGTTGTCAGTATATCTTCCCAGTTGTCCATCTTCACTCTCGGGTGGCTATTTGTGAGAATGCCATGACCACATGCCCCAAACTCAGAGGGCAGGAACAAAAGGGGTTAATGACACTGTAGTGGAGTCAAGAGATAGGGATGTGAGTCTCAGAAGCAAAATGGAGCGTTTGTCTTTGGATGTGGTCTCTTCCAATGGGTGGGGCACAGGGGAAGGTCATAGCTGGTGATAAATTCAAGTCAAAGGAAGATGTTCTTTCCAAGAAAGTGAGAATATGGGGAAGAGCAAAGGCCCAAGGATGCACACCTGGCAACACCCACACTTTGGGGGCAATTTAGAAAAGAGGCAGCTGGAGAGTTTACAGAAGAACCTGGAGTGGTATGGGAGACATCTTTTGGGTTGTCTGCCCAGCTCATGATGACACCCTAACTGCCTTCCTCTTCTTCCTCTCCTCCCTGTCCACAGGGTGGCATCTTTGGCAGCCATGACTGCTCACGGCCCCATGCTCCGGTCTGGTCTTCTGTGGGCAGCCCCAGGAATTTGGAGTTAGTTCTAAGAGACAGAGGAGGGAGGGGCAGAGCAAGGCCTTCTCTGTGTGTGAGCTTTGATGCTGTGAGCGGCCACTGGACACCTGCCTTGGGGACAGACTAACAAAGAAGGCCAGGATGCCAAGAAAGAATGAACTAATCTGAAACCAACTGCATGCCTGCCTTTGTCATCCACAGAAACCCCCTTATAACTAATTATTGTGTGTGTGTGTTTTCTTTCTCCCTTTCTTTTTAACCTTAAGACAAAGAAAAAGAACCTAGTTTTAGGGATGAATCAGGATATCGGGATTGTTGAGCCAGTTTTCTCATGCTTGCCTAACCCTGGTGCTCTGGAGCACAAGCGCAGATGGAAACCTCACACCTGCCCTGGCTGTCTGTCTGAGAGATTCTGGGTGGGCCCTAAGGCAGGCCAGAGAGGATGAGATACCAGGTAGTTAGGCCGAGTAATGTGGAGCCAGAGCCAGAACATGGGCCTTTAGCTGGAAAAGGACAGAGCAGGTTAGAGGCCAGGGTTGCTGAGAGACCCTGTCAGCTAAAGCAGTACTGAGGCAGGGGGAAGCAGGGCCCAGAGCAAGAGCAGGGAGCAGGAGGGACGCAGAGCCAGTCCAGGGGCGAACATGGTAGGCCCTCCAACCTGGCTGAGGCCCTTCCTTTGCTGGCCAGATACACTTCCAGGAACCCAGTCCTGCTGGACAGCCCACCACCTATGGGACCTCTAGTCACAGGATTTCTCCAGGCCATATTTTCCTTTTTTTAAATAAAAAATTTTCAGTTGGGCTGAATCACCTCTAGGTTTGCTTTCAGCTCTAAAATTTAAGTTGCAACAACAAAGAGCAGTAAAAAAAAAAAAAAAACATTAAAATGGACCAGCTACCACCACTGACTGCTCTGACCAGAATCACAACGGGTTCTGGACAGAGCTGGAGAAGGATGTAGAGCATAATTCTAACCCACAAAAAAAAAAGACCAGATTTACTGGCCTAAAGGAGACTGGAGAAACCTC